GCTTCTTTTATAATTTCTGGGCCTCCATTCCATAATACGTCTTGTCCACCGTCCATCTTGTGTTCTGGCTAAGGGCCCTGCCCAGTTCCACTTAAGCGTCGTGGTTCTTTCGATGACGTCTTGAACTCCTGATCTTCGCCTAATTTGTTGGTTTATTATGTGGTCTCGAAGGCTCACGTTCAGCATTGCACGTTCCATGGCTCGTTGTGTGACTCTAAGTTTATTCGTAGATTTTTGCGTGAGTGTTAATGTATCTGCTCCATAAGTTTGTACAGGTAATACACATTGGCTACAAACCTTTCGCTTGAGACACATGGGAATTGAACTTTTTAGAATATGGCTTAATTTGCCAAATGCTGCCCATGTTAGACCTATATTTCATGTGTTTGATTGTCTCTGCTTATTTTGATTTCGTGTCCCAGATATTTGTAAGTGTCTGTTTGTTGTATGGTATTATTGTCAATAGTTATATTTCCACTCATTACGAGATTTGTTAAAATTTTAGTTTTCTCAAAGTTTATCTTTAATCCTGCTCTTTCAGACAGACTTTTAAGCGAATGCATCATAGAAACCGTATCTTGTAAGTTATCTGCGATTAATACAACATCATCTGCAAACCTTAGGTGATTTAATCTTTCTCCATCTATATTGATGCCCATATCTTGCCATTGAGTACCCTTAAATATTGACTCTAGAGCTGCCGTGAACAATTTTGGTGAAATATTGTCTCCTTGTCTAACTCCTTGACCTAAGCTGAATTTTTCTGTGTCTTCGTGCAGTCGTATACTTGATGTAGCGTTCTGATAGATGTTTTTGATTAGTGTCGTGTACATGTAATCTATTCGGCTTTGATTTAGGGCTTCCAGTATTGTTTCAAACTCTACAGAATCAAAAGCCTTCTCGTAATCGACAAATGCAAGAACCAGTGGTATGTTGTACTCGATGCACTTTTCTATTAAGATCTTTATGGTATGCAAATGGTCATTTGTGCCATATCCTGCCCTGAAGCCTGCCTGTTCTTTGGGCTGATAGAAATCAAGTTTAGGTGTTAGCCTCTTTGTTAAGATTTTCATAAAGAGTTTGTACATATGTGTCAAGAGGCTGATGGGTCTATAATTTTCTAATTTAGTAATATCGCCTTTTTTGTGTAACAAGACTATTACTGCATTGTTCCAGTCTTTTGGAATCGTACCCGCATGTAAGCATTTAGTAAACAGTTCGCTTACTGATTTTAATAAAATTTCTCCACCTGCTTTTATTGCCTCGATAACGAGTCCGTCATCACCAGGCGATCGATGGTTCTTCATTTCCTTTAAAGCAGCTCTTACTTCTGACACAGTAATGGGTAAAAGTAATTCCGATCCCTGATTTATGAGAGTCTTTACTCGTGTCGGGAAATTGTCTTGTGGTCTTTGGCTGGTATAGAGGTCTTTATAAAATTCTCTAGTTATTTTCAGAATATTTTGTTTATCTGTTGTTGCCTTTCTGTCTTTATCTCTCAGCTTGTATATTTCTTTTTTACTTTGCGTAAGTTTTCTTTTCATTATCTTTAAACCTTTGTTCTCTTCTATTGTTTGAGTAATTACATTAGTATTATATCTTCTTACATCTTTTCTAATTTCCGCTGAAATTCTTTTATTTAGTTTTTTATATTCTTCTTTGTTTCCCTTTTCGTCTGTGCCCTTAACTAAATAAAACTAAATAAAAAAGTTTACTCTTCTCTCGTTTTTGATTTAGAAAAGTATTTATTTTAATTGCAAAACATGGATAAAGATAAAAAATTAGGCTATTACTGTACACACCGCACATGTGAAATATGAAATAAATGACCAAGAGATGAATACCGCATTATTTAAAAAATAACTTTTTAGAAATATAGACGAATTAAAAAAAACATAATACATCCGTCCTAACATGTCAATATTGTAATTTTTATCAGTTGTTATTAACAGGTCCTCGAAGACACTTTGTATCAGGACCATGTAACCTATGTAGAGCCCTACGTCACCATGTTACCAATTATAACGGTAACTTGAACATCCTAATTTGTAATAATATCTAATGTAACACAACTATAAATAAACAACATTTAATGGGATTTTACCCATATATTTTAGTGGCTCATAGCATGTATACTTCGTAAGTATTAACCACATTTTACATTAACCTTAGTCAACATTTTAAATTTGACGTTCTTTTTAATTAAAGTGGTTATAAGTAATGAATTTTGACAAGAGCTGTGATGAGTCATGCCGATTCAGTACACAAGTTTACCTGTTATTTTCAATGTCATAGCTCTTGTTAAAATCCATAACCTATAATCGGTTCACAATTTGTCGATAGCCCATTACAAGTTTAACGCTAATTAGAGAACTGAAATACAGAGAGGATTGGTAATAAGATATAATAGTAAAAACCAACCTGAAACTGACGGTTTAAGTGTTTTCGACTAACCCACCTTGTATCTGAAGAAATACAATACATCAGTCAACCTTATAATCCTATTACGAAGGTATTTGGTTAAACTGACCGACTTGACCGACCAGTGTCGTAGAGTATATGATTGAAACATTTATTTGAACTAAATAAATATATTTTTTAAATTGTATTTATGTAAATTGTATTTTTGTTTAAATAAAAACTTCTTTATTTTATTCAAAAATAAAAAGTTTTTTGTCATCTGTAAAAGATACATTTATTTAATTGAGGAAAAAGGAGCCAAATGTTGCCTGGCAAAATTTTCAATGTGTTTTAAATGTATCCATTATTTTCGAATCCGGAGAAAACTAATAAATATTTTTGAAAAATTTAAACGCAGAATGAAAGATTACATTATTACTGAGGGCAGAAAGTCCCTGAAAACTTCTACAATGTTTATTTTAATATGTTTATGTAACAGGGGTGAAAATAAAAGAAAATATAGTATAGTTTTTAATTGAAAATATTGCATGCAAAAGAAACTTTTATTTATTCTAATAAATATTTCATTCTGCTTTTAATTTTTCAAAAATGCTTTTTAGTTTTCTCAGGATTTGAAAAAAAAAATGGATACATTTAACACACATTGAACATTTTGACAGCCGACATTTTGCGCCTTTCCCCTTTAATACCTTACGATTACAATTACTATTACGATTATTGCGATTAGAAAACTATTCAAATTCAAAATAAATAGGATCAACTTCGGAATCGAAGTCGTCTTGAGGGTTAATAATTAGCGGTTGTGTCTCTACGGTCGCATCAATTATGTTATCAAGATCCCACATTTTTTGATCTTATTCTATTACATGTCTTACTGCGTCTTTTCAGTTTTGTTCTGTAATATGTTATAAAGACTCGTATAACAATTCACGTACAGCTTGTATTTTTATATGAAGTATTTTTTTCTAGCCACATAACTTTTCATTGTGCCCAAATGAGTTCAATTGGATTTATTTCGCAGTGGTAGGGTGGAAGTCTAAGGACTGCGATGTTTCGCCTTTCCGTCATTTTGTCAACTACGTATTTCTTGAACTTTGATTTGTGTTGCCGGACAATTTTTAAAAGTTCTGCTTTTAACCATTCCATCTTCGTAAGGCAGACACTTATTCCGCAGCCAGTCAAGAATATCCTGTTTCTTCCACTCAGTTGTTGGAAGTCTTTCTACTAGTCGTGAATGATAAGGTGCATTATCTAATACTATAATTGAATTTGGTGGTATGTGTTCAATCATCTGCTCACAATACTCTTCGAAAACATCAGCTGTCATCTCCTCATGATAGTCTTTTGTGCTTTTGGACTGAAATTCCAACAAACCATGCTTAACAAATCCTTTTTTACTGCCAATGTGAGAAATTAGTAATCTACTGCCTTTACCAGAAGGTGGTACCAGTAGATCAACTTCCATAAAGGCTTGCCTGGAGCTTAACATATTTTTATCTAACCTTATCTAACCAAATTTTTTTTAGAGTATGACCTGAGTTTAACCACGTTTCATCCTGGTGGAAGATTGGCCTTACTTCAACCCAGAATTTTCTTATGGATCTTAGATAATTTCTTCTCCAACATATTATCTCCTCCCGGTCAGTCAAAACTGATTTTCGGTATGATTTCTCCCACCGAAAATTTAATTCTTTTAAAACTTGCCACAATTTAGTTCGTCGTTCGTTCGAAAGGTACGTATATGTTCGTAGATATATGAAATATAAAATCACCCACGCACTGCATATAATTCGCAAAAGAAATATTCAAGACGCTAATTACTGCCGTAGACGCGGAAACACCGACGAGCCGTAAATTACATGTGATCAAAAACGTACTAAACAAAAAATTGTTTTCGTTCGTAATAACTTCACCATTTCAAGTTAAGTTTCGAATATAAACTGAATAGACGAGGCACGTGGCCAAAGCCGGTATCTTTATACCCATTATATTATTAAAAATCTGGGAATTTAATCCTAATTATCTTGCAACAAATAGTACCTTCGGATATAAATTCCAGGTTTTCTAGTAAAGTGATTAAACGCGAAGATTAGTATTGAAATATCCAAAGAGATAAGGTATTCTTATTTACAAAATTGTTAATGGTTAAATTCTTATTTTTATTAATATAATATAATAACCAACATCAGCCGTGAAGGTTTTAATTGTTTTTTGCGAAATATATTAGTATTAAAACATTATTAATATTAATATTAATATTAATTTTAATGAATAAACACCTCAGGAACGCCTATGATGATACAAATTTTACGACCAATTTTATGATTTTGAGGCACATTTCGTGCTATGATGGAATTAACATTCCGAAAACGGTCTGTAATGTAATTGTGATATAGCCCGTTTGGAATTTTATTATATACCTTTTATAAAGGATTTCAAATAAAACTGTTTGTGATACATGGTATACAGCCAGCTACAGGAACTTAGTTTCCTAGTGGACTATCAATTTAATTATATTACTAATTATGTCACCACTATCTTAAAGCCTAATTGCTAAAGTAAATAGTAATATCTCTCCTTTTGTTTTCAGTATTTATTAAAAAAATTATTACTACCGGATTATAAACAAAATTTTATTTAGAAAAGTTACACCAATTTGATGCTTGGTCATCTTAAATGTGTTCAGCGTCGTATTTTCTTAAAATATCTACTGTTGGTTTGTAAACTAACTCCGAGGCATTGTTGGCAAAAAGAAAATCGATGTGATTAAAGTCAGGATATTTAACTTTATGGATATAACAAACATTTGGTAGTATTTCAATATCCTCTAAAGCACCCTGAAACAAACAAAAAATGAAAATTGACATTACTTGTTCCGAAAATCAACGAATACCAATAAATGACTTTGTAAAACCTAAAAATCACCAATTAAAAAAATATATTTTCTTTGATAAATCCAGCTTTAGCCTACGTTTCATCTAACGTATTGTACCGTTTTTAAATAAAACGAGCGGTTCGAATTTATATAAATATATTTATTTATAACTTTACAGTTCGGTATTCTCTTATCAACTAACTTAACTCCTAATTCCGTTACATATATATACCAAAGTATTATGTTCGAGAATATTCGGGACTAGTCCCACCTCTAATTCGTTATCTGACGACGGGTGGAATTTTACAGCGCTTGATATATGACCGGTAATTTCTCGATCCTTCGAGATGCATCCGTTAGATGGCCATGCCGAAAGCATGTTCGTAACACTGCTCCCCTCTTAGATCTGAGCGTCCCGATCAGCAACTCTATATATAGGCCCAGGATGGCGGAATCTACAGAACTCTCCAGCTCTGCATGAACCCCTCAGAAAGAAATAACAGTCTACTGTCTTTGAAGGACACGATCTCTTCGGATTAATGCAACACACAGTAATTCTTACACCGGTTTCTCGGAAGATCACTTCAAGCATACTTCTGACAATCTTCCAATCCAGATTATCTAGTGCATGGCCTATCTTGGGTAAAGCCAAGTTCTTAATGTCGTAATTGCAGACGATTTTCTTCAAATTAGTCAGAGCACGCCATATATCCTCGTAGCTTGCCCTGTCTGTATACGACTTTCTGGTCACCATATACAACAAAGATCGAGAACCATCTTCTAATCTCAGCACTCTTCCAACTTTAGGCTGCTGGTTTTTTAACTCGTCCAAGCGACCAAATTTCTTATGAAATACGGATGAGATTCCTTTAGTCATCTCAAGATCTTGGGCAACACAGTGGGCTAGAGAGACGTTATGCGGAACACTAAAAAGATCCTGCTGAACTTCTGTCGTCACGCCGAATCTAGCACTCTTCTCTCTGCGTAATTTGACATAAACTCGTTAAAGCTTGGTCGCCGGTTATCTTTGATCTCATGTTGAAGGATTCGTACTTCTTCTGTTTCATTTGAGCCAGCATAAGGTGCAAGACGATTTATGTGAACTACTTTTGGTTTACCTTTCGGCAACTTCTTAATTCGGTATATTACGTCATTTATTCTCTTTTTAATTTCATACGGACCCTCCCATTGTCTTTGCAGTTTAGGAGACAAGCCACGACGACGTTGGGGATTATAAAGCCAAACAAGATCACCTACTTCATAGCTTTCATTCTTGCATCGAGAATCGTATTGATCTTTCATTCTGTCACTGGCTAACTGGATGTGTTGTCGGGCAAGTTCATGAATGTTGTTCATTCTTAACTTTAGGCGGTCGACATAATCTTCGCTTGTAACATGTTCTTCGGAAGGTCTGCAGCCAAACTCTAGGTCGCAGGGCAAACGAACTTCACGACCTAACATCAGGCAGGTTGGAGTCTGGCCGGTAGTTTCATTCACGGCCGAGCGGTAGGCCATTAGGAATAAATGAATGTGCTGGTCCCAATCTCTTTGATGTTCTGATACAACTTTGGACAGGTGTTTACCCATCGTTCGGTTCATTCTCTCGACCATTCCATCTGATTGAGGATGAAGGGGTGTCGTTCTGGTCTTATTGACGCCAATCAATTTACAAACGTTTTGGAAAAGGTTTGACTCGAAGTTTCGCCCTTGGTCGGAGTGGATCTCCAAGGGAACACCAAATCGGCTAAAGAATTCTTTAACCAGTACCTCTGCAACGGTAGCAGCTTCTTGATTTGGTAGCGCATAGGCCTCAGTCCATTTCGTAAAATAATCCATGGCTACCAGGATATATTTATTTCCATCATTTGTCTCTGGAAGTGGACCTGCAATATCGATTGCTACTCGTTCCATAGGACTACCAACATTGTACTGTTTCATGGGTGCCCTCTTTTTACCAACTGGACCATTACTGGTTGCACACAGTTCACATTTCCGGCACCATCTTCTTACATCATCTTTACAGTTCACCCAATAGAACCGTTCTCGAACCTTTTGCAGAGTCTTCGTAATACCAAAGTGTCCACCTGATGCACCGTCATGTAACTGACGCAATACTTCTGACACTTTACTTTTAGGTACAATCAACTGAAGCTTAGATTCTGTACCATCATCGTTCTCAAAGGTTCTATAAAGAAGATCATCTTTTAGCACTAGGCAATTCCATTGGCTCCAGTAACACTTGACTTCTGGACTACATGCACTAATGTCTTGCCAAGAAGGTCTTTCACTTCGACGCATCCAATCCAGCACTCTTTTTATACATGGATCATCTGCTTGAGCGTCTTGTAGCTGTTGAGGCTGCCATTGATCATTAATGACGGTGGTTCGTCTCACGGGTCAAAGTCGTTCTTCTAATTTAAGACAGTGATTACAATTTGCACTGCACGGCCGTCTCGAAAGGGCATCAGCATTTAAATAAACTCTTCCAGCCCTGTGTTCAATGTCGTAATCATATTCTTGTAATCGTTCTAACCATCTTGCCATCTGGCCCTCTGGATTACGGAATTGTAGGAGCCATTTTAGAGCAGCGTGATCCGTGCGAAGAAGAAACTTTCTGCCATACAAGTATTTATGAAAATGCTCGCAAGCCTTTAGTACGCCTAGCAATTCTCTCCTGGTAACGCAATAGTTTCTTTCTGGTTTCGACAAGACTTTGCTAAAGTAAGCGATGACTTTCTCCTGCCCATCTTGGATTTGGGAATAGAACAGCTCCTATTGCACTGTTGCTTGCATCTGTGTCCAACACAAATTTTCCTTAATTGCTGCAAGTTTTTCAGGATCAGCTGTAACACCATTACTTGCTACAATATGTCCCAAGTACTTCACTTCTCGTCGAAACAAGTGACATTCCTTCGGACTCAACTTCAAATTTGTTGCCCGCAATCGTTGAAAGACTTCTGTCAAATTATTGCATGTTCATCGAAGGATCTTCCTACTACAATTACATCATCCAAATAAACCAGGCATGTTTTCCATGTTAGACCTCTTAAAACTGCCTCCATTAATCTTTCAAATGTGGCTGGGCATTACATAAACCAAAGGGCATAACTGTGAACTGCCAAAGCCCTGATCCTATCGAGAATGCGGTTTTCTCACGATCAGCTGGCTCCATGTCTACTTGCCAATATCCACTTTTCAGATCGAGTGTGGAGAACCAACGAGAACCAGAAAGTGTATCCAAAGTATCGTCTATTCTGGGCAAAGGATAACTATCTTTTTTAGTTACTGCATTGAGCTGTCGGTAGTCAATACAAAAACGTGTTGAACCATCTTTCTTCTTTACTAGCACTACTGGTGATGTCCATGGACTGTTTGATGGTTCAATTACCCCTTGTTTGCTCATATCTTTGATGATGTCTTCGGCTTCATCTCTTTTCGCAAATGGAAGTCGTCTAGGTTGTTGTCTGATTGGCTGAGCGTCTCCGGAATTAATTTTGTGCTTTACTATGCTTGTTTTGCCATTATCCTTCTTATCAATGGCAAAAACATCTTGAAATTCTATTAGCATAGACTTCACTTTTTTAGTTCGTTCATCATCAAGATCTTGGCACGTTTTAATCATCGTCTCTACAAGCTCCTTTGGATACTTAGATTTTGACGGTTTCTCATTAGTACTCATTGAACAAATTGAAGCTACGGGAACACACTGTCCGATCAAAGTTCTTTTACTTAACTTAATAGCAGTTTCTTTTAAATTCATAACTCTTACAGGAACGACATCTCGAATTCTCACCAAAGCTTTTGCTGTTAGGAACTCGGCATTGTTCACATCTTCGACCATCCTTAAACTTCCCTCTCGGCAGTAACCATCAGGTCTGGCCATCAAAATTTTCTCACTGTTACCCGGTATTGTTACGTCACAAGTAGTTATTAAGCTGATAACATCTTCTTTGTCTTCATGAAATGGCAACTCTTCACCACCGATCTCGAGAACTCCATCTTTGACATTCAATACAGCTCCAACTTTCCGTAGTAAATCCATCCCCAATATGAACTCGTCAGAGATCTCTGCAATTAATACTCGATGTTTCACTGTGGTCTGGCCAATGGATACTGACATATTAGCCTCGCCATATGTATTAATTATCTCACCAGTTGCTGTTCTAAGCTTTATTGTTGCAGGCGATAATTTAAGATGGTCTCGTACTACTTCTGGTCGTGCTATAGTTCTTGTTGCACCTGTATCTACCAAAAACGATATACATTTATTATTAATACGACCCTCGATGTACAAGCTATGAATTCCACCGGAGGACGTAATGTTCACAGTAACTATGGGGGCTGTGTTTCTCGAGGTCGGCAGTTGCCCCTTAATGTCGACCCGTTCTAGTTTTTCCGACTGTTGTATCATTTTCTTGCAATTACGGCGAATGTGACCTACGTCACCACAATTCCAACATCTGGGCTCGCGTCTCTTCGGCATCGTGTTACGAACTACTTTTCGTACCATTTCTTCCAGGCGTTCATCGTTTGGTTCGTCGACTTCTTCAATGGTTCTTACTCGATGGCTCCGTGAAGTTTGACTAGCTGTTTCATGTTCTAAAGCAATAGCAAGCGCTTCATCTAGAACTTTCGGTCTTGCTAGTCGTAAAGCTTTCACTTTTCACTTTACTTTCTGTAATTCACTTTCTTTTAACCCATTGACGAAGGTATCTACAGCGATTTCTTCCAAAATGTTGTCTGGTACCTCAGGATAAGCCAACCGCACTATACGAGCAACATCTGCTTCAAACTCTTGCAAATTCTCACTTGCTCGTTGAACTCTACTTCTTAGTTGCGCCTTGTAGACTTGTTGTAGATGGGCATCTCCGTAACGTTTGTCTAGTCGAGTGAACAAGGTCTGGTAACATTTTTCTTGACCCTTAGGAATCGATCTTAAGATATCTGCAGCATCACCTCGTA